CACTCCTCCACCAGCCCCTCTCTCTCCTCCTTGCTGGGGTTCTTCTGTCGCTCGTAGGCCTGGAACAGGATCTGCTGGGACGCCGGACCCCATTTAAACCGGTTCCTCCGCCCCTTCCTGCCCTCCTCCCCCACCTCCTCTCCTGACAACACACCCCGACTCGCGTTCGTAAACTCTGTCCATCACAGGAGAGGGCAGTTAGTCTGATTAGACTGACTGGGTTATTACGCTGACAGGCACTGGTCAGTTCACACAGTGGAGCCTGTGTCCATTATTAAGGCTATAAATTGGAGCATCCATCATATACACCCTCAAAAAAGATGGTTCTTCAAGGGTTCTTTAGTAAAGATAGTGGTTCTCTATAGCACCATGAACACTCAAAGAACCATTTGCATACTCAAATGGTTCTCTGAATGGTGAAATGGTTCTTCAGATTGGGAGAAAGTGTTGTATATGGTTCCAAAAAAGGGTTCTGCTGTTGTTACAATGTCAAGCTTGCAACAATAGAACAACCCTTTTTGTGTTATATAGAACCATATACAACACTTTCTCCCAATCTGAAGAACCATTTCACCATTCAGAGAACCATTTAAGTATGCAACTGGTTCATGGTTCTACATCATGGTCTTAACTAAAGAACCCTTGAAGAGCCCTTTTTTAAGAGTGTTCTCTACATGGATGATTCTATTGATCTGGTTCAAAGTCAGAGCTGAAACACATTTGAGGACTTTTAACTGATTTTGGACTTTAGATTAAAATGCTTTTTCTCTGAGTGACTCTAAACCTTAATTATGTTCATTTTATTAAAACTAATGGTTGAAGAAAAATATGAATATTTAAGATTTAAAAGAATTAAAAGGATCTGTTAAACTCAAGGTATTCATAGAGACAGTAATAAGCTAAATATATGCAAAATCATCATTTATAGGGCACTTTCCATTGGGAGGTGTCTGTCCCAAACCCTAACCCCTAAATTTATGCCTTTTACTTATTTACTTAATGCTTAAAATTAAAAATAGTCATTACTAAAACACTTTTTCAGCAGTTTATGTAAACATTTTTTGTGTTTTAGTGAAAAATATGATTATTTGTGAACAGCTGTTCAAAGCTGTGTTTGCTGGTCATGTACAGGCTGAGTTTTTAAGTTCTGCTCAAAATAAGCTAAAATAGTCACCACCGAAACGGTCACTACTGAAACATTTGGTAAAGTTTCAGAGTTAAGATTGTTTTGCTAGTGACCAAAATGGATTGTTCAGTCGTTTGTTTTAATAATTAAACATATTTAAGGTATAGGGTCCCTCAAAGCAAAAGGTCCCAGATGTCTTTAGACGTTGAACTGATTCACTGTATTGATCCGTATAGAGATATCAGGTATAAGAAGACTGATCTAACGCTACTGTAAAGCAGCCTAACAGTGCGAGAGTGGCGTAATACTCACGTTTGCTGATCTCGTCCTGTTTCTTGACGTACCAGCTGTAGAGAGCAGCTCGTTTCTGGTTCTTCATGGGCGTACCTTTGTTCAGGTGTTGGGACAGGTGAGACTGGTTCAGGCCTGTGGACTCCACCACCTCTCTCTGAGGGAGATTGTGCTGCTGCATGTAGCTCTTTACCATCTTAGCCACGTGCCACGGGTCCTCCCTAACACAGCGTGTTCATTCGTTTTAGCCCAGTGGTCAACATGATCATTTTTTGCAACACATACAATTTTTACAAATAAATAAACATCATTCATTATTAATTGATCTTGTCTGTAATATATAAGCCTATATAATAATACTGCATTCTAAATATAGAAACTTACTAATTTAATTCCAAAAACGTTGAGACATCATGTAAAATGCTAAAAAAAACAGAAAGCACTGATTGATAAATTCTGTATTACATTGAAAACATGTTTTACCTTATAAACTTCATTGTTTTATGTAAATATACACTCATTCCATTTTTGATGTGTTTGCCAAAGTTGTTACAGAAACATGTTTACCCCGGTGTTACATCACCTTTCCCTTAACAGCACATAATAATCATTCAAGGACTGAAAACACAACCTGATCCAGTTAAAAAGAGAAATTTTATTGCTGTTCTTCTGTTATACAAGTCTTCAGCTGTGCAACCTTATGGGGCTTTCAGTAGCCACGTTTACATGCAGCCAAATAATCCATTAATAATCCGACTAATAGATCAGTCGGAATGTAAAGACCTTAATCTGAATAGTCTAGTCCAATTGAGGCCATTCGGAATACAGTTTCTATCGATTGATCGAGGTGGGTAATCCTGTAAATAATCCGTTGAATAGAAGAATAATATCCGTGTAAACGCCTGTATCTGATTACATTCCCTATCGGAAAGTTTAAGTCCGTTCTGATCATGTTCGTCGCGTCATAGTGAAAGAAACTGGTCTGCAGAGGAGACGAAGTTTATGCTCTGATCTTTAAAAGACGGCGGTGGGACGGACGTCCAGCTTATGTGTCTCAGAACACGACGTCTTCCTCTCGGCCTTCTTTAATAAGGACATGTGAAGGACGTTTTCCTGAGTCTGACATCATTTTAAAGCAGTTAAAAACACAAGCACTGCTCACTGCTGCTCATCTCACTCTGACTGGACTCACATGATGCTGGTTGTCATGGTAACGTCTGCACTAAGTGGTTCTCCATGCATGCGTGTAATTATGGATGGGCATGTAAACAAAAAGACTTTCATCAGAGTGTTGAGTAGAGTGAAATATAAACACCTCAGTCTTAATCTTTAATCAGAATGTGTTCAATCGGATTGGCAAAAATCTTTGCATGTAAACACAGACAATGTCCTGTCTTGAGTTTAATAAGACACACGTTTTCAATAGGAGAAAGTTCTGGCCAGTCCAGCACCCACACTCTCTAATTATGCTCATGCTGTTCTAACACGTACAGAATGTTTCTTGGTGTTGTCATGTTGAAATTATGGAGGTTCCTGATAAAGACGGCGTCTAAAAGGCAGCATAAGTTGCTCCAAAATGTGTTTAGATTTAATGGGGCTTTCACAGATGTGCAGGTTACCCACTTATAACCTCTCCCCCACCCCCACCATGACAGACATTGGATTTTAAACTTTACACTGGTAACAATCTGGACGGTCTTTTTCTTCTGTGGGCTGAAGAACACAACATCCACTATTTCTATAAACAGTCTGAAAGATGGACCACAATACACGTTTTCATTGAGCATCAGTCCATATCAGATGAGCTTTAGCCCAGAGAAGTCGGTGGCGTTTCTGGACATTGTTGAAATGTGACCTTCACTGTGCAGAGTACAGCCTTAACCTGCATTTGCAGATGCAGCGATGAACAGTGTTTATTGACAACCTGAGCTGAGTTGTGGTTTTCGGCCTTTTTCTTTACGCACAAATATTTCTCTGGATTCTCTGAATCTTTGGATGATATTATGCACTGTAGAGCAGGGGTTTCAAACTCAACCACTAAAAGGGCCATATTAAAAAATCTCAACAAATCCATGTGCCAGCTGTGTTTATTTTATTTTTACTGAACATTTTTCCTTGACCCCAACTGGCCACTGTTTATTCAAAATACATCAAAACTACAATGGCAAAAAGGCACTGACTACTTAAACACTTCAAAAGTAATTTTAAATAAAAACAAATTGTTTTTGTCCCCAGTGTACAGTAGGTTTTTAAAACAGCCCATTCGCTTGAACTGGACATCTGGTACCTGGCATTTTGTTTGTTTTGTGGTGCAGTCTCATAGCTCGTTGTAGGGGGTGGGAGCCCATATCATGCATGCTGGGAACTGTAGTGCAGCTCATAGTGAAATGGGCCAATATTAATAGAAATTTAAAATAATAATGCAGGTTGAACAGGATTGTGTCACGGGCCTGACTTGGCCTGCAGATCTTGTGTTTGACACATGGGCTGTAGAGGGTAAAATCTTTGCAAAACCATACTGAGAAACTTTGTTCTTAAACAAAAACCTGCTGCTGTCAGATTATTTGATGCATTTTTTGGCGATAAGCATCGACCCGTCCTCGCTCATAGAGGATTCAGCCTTTTCTGGACGCTCCGTTTACACTCAAGCATGATTGCATCATCTTTTTAGAATGCTTTTATTAATTTTCATAACATTTCTAGTCCTAATTTGCCCTGATTCCAGCTTTTTTGGAACATCTTATAGGCATATGTTTACAAAAAAGCAATGAAGTTGAAAGGCTAGTCAGTTCACGTCTTATCTCTGTGCTGGTTTTGTTGAAATGCAGGTCACAGTAGATGGACACATCACTGCTTTCTTTGTTTTTGTTTGCAGTTCACACACTGTCCCACCCTTTCCACAATAGAGTTTGTACCTTATTAACCAAGAAGCCATCAAGATTATATGATTATAACATTTTAGGATCACTGCATCTTCAGCATTTCGGCTTGAACAGCGCTGGCCCGAGCAATAAAGTGGGCCCAAAAACACGAACATCAGCAAACGTATGCCGGTCGTTTTGGACGCAGCGCTGGAGGAGTGGGTGTTTACAGATTTCTGTACTACAGTGCTGGTGATATCAGTCATTGTGTTGAAACTGAGCAAGGAAGAGAGAGAGAGAGAGAGAGATGTTGACACTGTAAGATAAGGCCGTGGACGAAGGGGTCAGAGTCCAGCGACACAGACTGTCAATAAAAGCGGCTGTGTAAACGTCCACACAGTCACAAACACATGCACAAGAAGACTTTTAAAGAAAGAAATCCCTCTTCGGCTCATTTTTAACTTTAAAGCATGTGTCCACGAACCTGCCGGCCCCCCGAAAGCTGGACGCTGAGACCCCTGCAGCACAGCGACGCTGCTATCTCCGCAGTGCGCTCAATGAAATGTACACACAGCCCGCAGTCACACTGTGTCACTCTGTTAATTTTAACCAGTCCATGTAGCTCATTTATTAAAGAGGTAGAAATGGCCCGAGAATAATGAATAGGGTGGGTAATTAGTAACTAGAAAAGGTGGAACCTCTCTCCTTTATATATTCATCCCATCAGCTGGGAGAACGAGCAGAGAAGGAGAGCTGGGATGGAGGGCTGGAGAGAGAGAGAGAGAGACAGAGAGAGAGAGACCCTGTGAGGATGGAGAGGAAGCAGAAGAGAGAGACTTAAGGAGTCATCTGACAGGTAAGAGCAGAACAGACGGAAAAAACAACAGAGCGAGTTACGTTTAACCCCTTAAAGTGCGAGAGACTGTACATAACTTACATAACGTACATACCGGTGTCTGTGTCGTTACTAAATAATTAACAGTAGTTATTAAATAATGTACTGCAGTTACTAAATAGTAAATCTAAAGATTAATAACTGGACTTAAGCTGAGAGTTTAAGGAGTTAAACTTAAGAACATTGGCTTTTTTGTCTTTTCAGATGTTTTAGCACACAGAGTATGTCTGGAGTATATATAAAGTGTTTATAGAGTGTTTATTGCGTAGAATGTATATGGAGCATATATAGAATGTATATCAATACATACGGAGTGGAATATGTGAAATGTATAGAGCATGCATATAGACATAAATTAAGTGTATATTGAGAATATATGAAATGTATAGGGAGTGCATATAGATATATATGGAGTGTATTTGGAGAATATATAGAATGTATATACAGTATATAGAGAAAGTATAGAGATCAAATAGGAGATACATGTAGAATATATATAGTGCACCTTAATGTATATGTATATGTATGTAGAGTGTATATGGAGTATATATATGGAATATATATATAGAGTATATATGCAGCATATATGGAGTGTAAATGAAGTATATATAGAGCATATATGGCATATATATGGAATATATATGCAATATATTTAGACTATAAACTATATAAACTATAGTTTATATATAAATACTCCAGACTGATCTGGAGTATTTAAAACTGCATATAGAATATATATGGAGAATTTATGGGGCATGCATGCGGTACATATATAGAGTGTAAAAAGGGTATATATAGAGGATATATGGAGTATATATGCAATATATTTAGACTGTATATGGCATATATATGGAGTATGTATAGATTGTACATGGTTTATATATATACTGTATATGGAGTGTATATGGAGTACATATGGAGTATATATTATGTATTTATATAGAACATATATGTAGCATTTATAGAGAATGTATGGAGTAGAATATATATGTAAATTTCACAGAGTGTATATGGAGTGTATATATAGTATATATGGAGTATATATGGAGTATATATGGTCTATATAAGCTGAATATAGACTGATAGAAACTCACTGCAGCAGATGGTCCACTTCTGCTCTCTGTCTGGCAGCTTCCTGTGGCGGTAGCTTCTCCAGCTCCCTGAAGATTGGTGGAGGATAATCCATCTCGCCCTCCTCCGAGCTCTCTCCATCCGCACGGTCACTCCGGTCAGCCCCGGCTCGCTCTCTCTCTCGTTCCAGCTCACCCATGGCCTGCACCAGCACCTCTCTGGTCAGCCCCGAGCCCAAAAGTGACCACACCAGCTGCTCCTGTAAGGCCGAGAGTCTGCGGACGCTTCCTGTTGACTTTCGCTCCTCTCCTCCGTCCATCGCTCTTTCGCTGGACTCCATTGTCTTTGCTGCTGGACGGTGCGCCTTAGGAGCTGACCACAGGGAGGGATTCAACAGTGAGCTTGATACAGGGACACGTATAGACATACATGCGGTTTGGCAGTGTGGTGCTAAAGCAGTGAGGGCACCACCAGGCACTCAGATCAGTACGCAAACACTAATAACCCGCTGTGGTCAGCAGTGCTGTCTATATGTGTGGTGCTAAATGAAGTAATGAAGGTCCTTACATTGATGTGTAAACACTGATAACTCACACACAAGCACACACAAGCACAAACGAACCATGCTCGCACACTCGCTGACACACTCATATTCACCTGTGCGGTTCTCCCGGCTCTAGATATCAGCTTTCGTCCCTCAGTGCGGTCAGTTTGCCCATAAATAATCGTCCAAACAGCTCGTGTCCACTTCCTCTCGGCCTTCTCCGTCTCTGCCCGCAAACCTGCTGCTGTTTTTGCTTTCAAATGCGATTTTTTTTTTCTCTTTGCTTCCCACTTCACCCCCTCCTCCCTCTCTCTCTCTCCCTCTCTCTCCCTTTCTCTCTCTCTCAGACTGAACTTTGGCCCCATCTCCCTCCATTCCCGGTTCAGTTCAGAGTGCAGAGTCTAATCATGACCCTTCAGTGCAGAGAAACACACCACACACACATCTTCATCCACCCGTCCATCTGCCCACTGCTGCCCACTCAAAACTCTCCTATTTCTTCACACGGCGCTCTGAGGTTCTCTGTGTAAAGTCAATATAGAACCAGTAGGCTACCATTACAGAACCGACAGAAACTGAGATCAGGCAGGAAACGAAGATCAGTTTGGGTTCTGCAGGAATGAAAAATGAAAGGAATGAATTTATAAACAGCCACTGTATTTCTCACATTATGATGTGTTTAATGTGTCTACAGTGCCGAACAGGCTGCTTCACCCTGCTGTTTCACCATTTCTAGTTCTTTTATATTATTTTAGTGTTTTGTGTCTGTTTTGTATTTATACTCTTTGATATGCTGTGTTTTATGTCAAAGAGACTGAGGAACTTATAGAAATACAATTCTTGTTGTATTATTGTAATGTGAGTAAAGTATTTTCATACTTTCTGTAATATAATGCTAATCGTTGCACACTTTCCATAATGAACACTTTTTTACTGTACTTTTATGTGTATTTTGTAAAGTAAGGCTAACTTTTGCACACTTTTTGTGCTGCAAAGCTAACATTAGCACACTTTTTGTACCATAAGGCTAACGTTTGCATACTTTTGGTACAGTAAGGCTAACTTTTGCGTACTTTTTGTGCCGTAAGGCTAACATTAGCACACTTTATGTACCATAAGGCTAACATTTGCACACTTTATGTACCATAAGGCTAACATCTGCACACTTTTGGTACAGTAAGGCTAACTTTTGCATACTTTTTGTGCTGTAAGGCTAACATTAGCACACTTTTTGTACCATAAGGCTAACGTTTGCATACTTTGGGTACAGTAAGGCTAACTTTTGCATACTTTTTGTGCTGTAAGGCTAACATTAGCACACTTTATGTACCACAAGGCTAACTTTTGCACACTTTTGGCCCTGCAAGGCTAACTTTTACACAATCTTTGCACTGGAAAGCTAATCTTTGCACATTTTTATACTGCAAGGCTGACATTGTCACACTTTTTGTACTGTAAGGCTAACTTTTGCACACTTTTTGTACCATAAGGGTAACATTAGCACACTTTTTGTACCGTAAGGCTAACTTTTGCACACTTTTTGTACCATAAGGCTAACTTTTGCACACTTTTCCTACTGCAAGGCTAACCTTTGCATACTTTTTGTGCTGTAAGGCTAACATTAACAGACATTATGTACCATAAGGGTAACATTAGCACATTTTTGTACCATAAGGCTAACATTTGCACACTTTTGGCCCTGCAAGGCTAACTTTTACACAATCTTTGCACTGGAAAGCTAATCTTTGCACATTTTTTTGTACTGCAAGGCTGACACTGTCACACTTTTTGTACTGTAAGGCTAACTTTTGCACCCATCTTTGTACTGCAAGGCTAATATTGGCACACTTTTTGTATGGAAAGGCTAAAACACTTTATTTTAATGGTCCACTGTAGTTGGTTTGTAGATGCTCATTTTCGTTTTATCTAACATTCAACAAAATATGTATTAAATGCAACTGAACTTAAAGTTGAACGTGCTACAATGTAAGAATCAGTAGATCATCTATAGGGCACCATCAGAATAAAGCATGACTAATATTTTGTATTTCTCACACATCTGAGAAAAGCCTGAACACATTTTGTTATACTGTAAACACACGTACATGCATAATGACCATAAATCAAACTGAACTAAAATCCCAGAAATGACCCTGAAATACCCAAATACACAAACACAGGCCATTAGTCCAGGTCAGGACATGTTTGCTGTGTGTCTGTTGTTATCTGGAACACTACATTAGTCTGTGTGTGTGTGTGTGTGTGTGTGTGTGTGTGTGTGTGTGTGTGTGTGTGTGTGTGTGTGATGCCCCAGACAGTTCCCGTTTCTAAGCTGCCTGCGGGGGGCGCTCTGGACTACTTTTTCATCAGTAAATTACTGTCTGGCAATGATGTTATTTTCCTTGTTTGTTGAAACTCTAAAGTTTTTGCATGCACTTAATCAATTTAAAACTTTTTGAGTCCTTTTAATGCTAAAATACCATAAATTCAGTAAAATGTATAAATGCAATAAATCAAACACGAGTCAATTTTGAAAAGGAAAAAAGGAAGTTTATATATATCTATGAATTTACATACAGTATTTACATTTTTTCCCACAAAACAACACCCAAATAAATTAAATAAATTCAAATCACTTGCTGAAGTGCACAGTACTGTGAAGCTCGGGGGACTCAGAGCATTAACAGTGGACATTATGCAACAGATCACCCATTGTTATTCAACAGCAGGAGCCATTAGCATTAGCATCTCTCTCCAGTGAGGCTAATCCAGAGCACAATCGAGGATGGCAGTAAGGGGGGGGGTTATGTGTTGCTATCTGTATGAGAGTGTGATGAATGGTGTGTGTAGTAGTCGGACCCCCTGGCTCTGGCATGGCCGTGTGTTAGCGTCCGCTGTGCTGCAGTGTAAGGCCAGTCCCAGCTCCACTGTGGCCTGCAGGGGGCGCTCGACCCATCCGTCCCCCAGCACAGCTGATATGGGATCATGCAGGGCTTTTTCTCTGGAGTCCGAAGCCCAGGGCCTGCTTAGACCCCCCACCCTTCGAATGTCCAGCAGGCTAGGACCCCCACGGCCCCCACCAAGGGCCTGCTGGAGAGCCTGGAACAGGAAGGTCAAGTCCACCCTCAACTCTAGAACACCGTCCTTAGACCACGCACTGTACCTACAGAGGACGAAAGATGGATTATTAGTGGATGATTATCTTATTATTATGTTTATTTAGTCAGGGACCATAAACAAAACACATCGATCTCAAAAGAGATGAGATGCTTTGCACCAGAATCAGCTAATTTCCTTCTGCAGTCCCTGGACAGATAACAAAAAACACAATACAGAATACAAAATTACAAAAACAAAATATCTATTAAATCTATCTGAGCAGCTTTAGCTCAGTTTAAAACACTATTAGTGTGTCGAGCCCCTTTCCTCTGTAATGGCACTTTTTTATACTAATATATTTTTTTAATTTGATTTTTAATTATCCTAATTTAATTTCTAATTTATTTTTTAATAGAATTTCTCTTTTAAATCCATTGTTTTAATCATGTTTTAATCCTTTACTTTTTTTTAAACGACGCTGTATTTTTCTCATTTGTAAAGCACTTTGATTGACAGCCGTGTAGGAAAGGTGATACATGAATAAACTTGCCTTGTTTTGCCCAAATATATAACCAACTCACATCCTCAACTTTATCTCCACAAACCAGCCCAAATGCATAACAGTAGAGGAGGGCGATACAGCAAAAATATAATATCACGATACTTCAAGAAATTTTCACAATAAATGATATCACAATATTTATTTTCTTCAGATATCTGATCAGTTAGAACAGGAAAAAAGAGGCAGTAGTTCTACGTTTAAAAAAAAAAGTATCAACAAACTGAACACAATGATTTTTAATCAATATTTGGCACCAAATCCAGTTAAACAAGACTAATTTTGCTGTTTTTATAATTAAAAATACAGTTGGTCAGTGTCTACAAGTACTGACGATAAACACCATATGTTCAAAAAAGCAACCTGTATTGCGACATAATTTATCATAATATTGATATATACTGTCATATCGCCCAGCCCTACATACTAGGCCCTCATTAACCGTCATCTATACAATATTCTGCCACTTGTACAGCGTTTGGCTGATTGAGTATCTGTCCTTAGACCTCTGAAGTGGTGTCCTGCTCCAGGTCTAAGCTGGTTTACTCTATGAGAAAAATGAATGGAGTTTTGGAAAATGATCCTTAAGGATGAACAAAAATGTTCGAGGTGCCCCATACAAACCAGCACAATATGTCAAACCTACTGGTTTCCAGGCTGCAGTTTGAGTAGCTGGTGTTGCTATATAACAGTATCAGATTACAATACTAGTGATTTTCTAAAACATCATCCATTTATTCCCTTTGAGAAATCCAGCTTAGGCCCACAGTTACTAATACAGGCACAACACTGACTGAATGATGCACGACTTCAGAGCTTTGCTGAGCCGACAGTTTTCCCAGTCTTCTCTAAGCAGAGAAAAAAAACGATCAACTGTAGTCCTTCAATATTCCAACCTGACTTACATTTCCAGTGGAAACAACGTCCTCCTGTGTCAGAATCGAGGGACACGGGTTGCTCTAGTAGAACCGAATCTAATTTACAGAGTTTTCTCTTGAGAAATGGACAAAAGTACAACTAAAATTCAGCCTTCACAGCTGCGGTTACTGTTTGTAGCTATGCTAACGAACTTCAGTCCATGTTCATAGTAGGCCTGGGCGAGAGGGCGATGAAAGCGGATATCGTTGATAGAGATGGAAAAAGGTGATATTTGCCACTTGGGAACTGAGAGAGAACTAGAGAAGAATAATTTACGATAAACAACCTGTAAATACTTTGGGAAACTGGGGTTCACATGTTTATGTTTACAGAGAGAGGGAGTTTGTTAAGAAGATGTCTGTTAGTTCTCTCTGCTGTGCTCTGTTCTGCTACCTTTACCACACGACTCGTCACCTACTGCTTATTTTACATTACGTTAAGTTTAGCTTGAGTGCAGCAAAACAACCAATCAAAAGTGACCAAAGCAGTTAGCTCTAACCTGGAGAGAAAGTTCTTCATATCACCATTTACTGCCAGGAAACCGGATCAGAAAAAGTGAATATGAATAACATTGTCTAATGTGCACACTGTGAAGTCCCCACTGTCTCTGCTGTGTGTGATTTACTGAGCAAAATTTCTAATACTTAGTATTTATTTTGTAAACATTAGTGTCTTATTTACAGCTTAAGTGTCCCGGTGGTAATTAACATATAAAAACTCCGCTATAAAGGTGAAAAACATCTTGATTTTTAATATGCAGTGCACATGGTTTTAGAAATTGTTTGCGGCCTGAAGTATGTCCAGCGGAGAGCGCTGTGAGCACTGACAGCACGCAAGTCAAATGGATCTACACCAGAAGGAACTCATGAAAGCATTTTTGCGGTAACATCTATTAAAACGGCAAGTGAAGCTGTTTTCAAAAGGTGTTGGGTTCCTCAGTATTATCTTATTTAATGTTGTTTTATTAAAGATTTTTATTTTTAAATGATTTTTAAAAGCATATGCACTAAAAAAAAGAAAAGAAAATAGGTCAAAGCTGCAGCACACAGCATGATTTTTGTTTTGGGGGGAATGATTACTAGAAAATACAGTGTTAATTATTATTAGTAGTTAATTTATGACATCAATCTTCCATTACTTGTTAGCTGCATTAGCCTCCTAGCTTCAGACACTGATCAAGTCTTTGCTGATTGACTACATTTAAGGCAAAGTGGGGGAGAAATTGGGTAAATTTGACGTTTTGCTGAACTATCGCTTTAAGCTGCAGAGATCATGTGAGTCATTTCATCGCAGTACAGTGTCAGTTGGCACCACGTCTCACCTCGTCGGGAGCTGCCGTTTCTCCAGCGAAGGCAGCAGCGGCTGGACGTTGAGGAGCTGCGGGTTTGTAAGCTGGAGATGAATCTCGGCTCTCACCACCGGAGCCGAGAGAACGTCCTCACTGAGCAGGAACTCAATACTGGAGCCTTAGGAGGGAGAGAGAGGGAGAGAGAGGAGAGAGAGAGAGAGAGAGAGAGTGAGAGAGAGAGAGAGAGGGAGACAGGGAGAGAGAGAGAGAGAGAGAGAGAGAGACAGGGAGAGAGAGAGAGAGAGACAAAGAGAGAGAGACAGAGAGAAAGAGAGAGAGAGGGATGAGTTAGAAATCACTGCTTATATAGCAACATCACTTTAAGGGGCCAATACCCTTCATTTTTGTTGTATTTTAATTTTTTACCCTGAAGTTTACTGATAGTGTTTGTTTCATTTGATCTACCAAAAACAGTAATAATTTTTTGTACATAATTTTCCAGCCTCTCTTTATCCCTTAAAATTAAACAGGCTGTTTTTTGTGACTGTGCCTTTAAGACTGATATATGTAAACAAGCTCTGTTCTTATTGGCTGATCTCTATTGCGAATCATTCCAAAAGCAGTCTGGGCTGAAACACTGCTGTAGACTGAAGAGGGGGATATAAGTACAGGTTTATGCATAAAGGTTTTATAACATCAAAAGAGCAGTGAATTCAAAACAAGCTGTTTTTGATGCGTTCTCTACATATACGGACTCTTTTATTTACAAAGAGTGAGGAAAATTCTGTTTTCCACGATATCGTGATATTTCTGTAAATTTACAGTACTTCTTTTACAGTAAAATACTGTTTTGTTATTTTACATGATCATACTGTACAGGATTGGACATTTAGAGCAGTGCATTGGTTTACAGTAACATACCAGACAATGCAATTTACAGTAATTTACCAGTAAAACACTAAATTTTCAGTGAAAATTCTGCTGCCGGTAAATTACTGTAAATTTTGCCATATTTTTTTTTTTTACAGTGTGAGCTCTTTAATCACAGCTGCACCCACATCCAGTCCAGATTTCTATTTACCCCATTTAGTAAACTCTTCAAAATAAAAGCAGCATCTTATTTGAAACAATGCCGCAGAAAAACACTTTTGTTTCCATAAGGAGCCGTTTAATAGATGGTTCTGTGTGATTGTGAAAAAGCTTAATAGGTTTTAAAAGGTTCTACACCAATTTTGTAATGCTAAACATCCCATATCATGGAAAACTGGATGTTTCTCACTTTTTTGACATAAGATTGTTTGATAAAGTATATAAACATTGCTATTTTTTTTTAAAAATGTACCACAATTGTGCGTTATACAGGATCGATACATAAGCAGGACTAAGAAAGTCCCACTTTTAACACCTTAAACTGCAAATTCTCATACTGAGGGCCCACAAACCCTCACCTTCACAACTGTTCATTATTATTTTTCTTTTCTATTATTAGTTATTATTAGGAAAACACAGCAAAGCTAGAGGAGATAAATAAATTCACATACAGACCACTGCCTCACTACTTATACATTCACAAATGAATCTGTTTCCATTTGCATGTATATGACGTTTTAACCACTTCAGCTCCAGACCTTTTAGTTTTAGCGCACTGCACAACTTACAGAGTCATAGTAGTTACTGAATAATAAGCATAAGATTAATTAAAGGGCTTTTATATTCATACACTAATTATAGGGGATTTACTACTCTTAAAAATAGTGTTGTTCAGTAAAGTAATGCTTCTATTTAAAACCATGAGCTCTTAATAGAACCATTTGCATGCTTAAAGGGTTCTTTGCTGAAATGGTTCTTCAGATTGATGGAGGATGTGCTGTACATGGTTCTATGTATCACCAAAAGGGTTCTTCCTTGAATATGATGTCATGTTTTTAACAATGGAAGAACCATTTCAGCATGGACTCATAGCTCTATACAGAACCATTCCCTTCACTAAAGAGCCATTTTTTTAAGATCTATAGCAATCTATTTTTATAGGATTCATATGAGGCTATTATAGTGAATTCACACAATTACTATAGTTTGCTATAGAATACTACACAAGTGCTATAGATTAGTATGTATTTAGTACGTAGCGCTATAGAAATCAGTGTCTTGTGGCTTTTAATTGAACAGAAAGAGAAGTATGGTGACTCATTTAAGCAAAGGAAAGATGTGCAGTAGGAAAAAAGCACAAAACTTAAAGAGAAAGCTAAAAAGAAATGGCTTTCAGTCGGAACTCTTCGTTCCACCTTAAATTGTGCAGCAGGTACCGTCTGACCCATGCAAAAATTTGCTATAAAGCAGTAGCTTTCAGTTGGAACTCTCCGTTCCACCTTAAATGGTGCGGTGGTCACATTCTGGCGTAAATGTTGCTGTAGAGAAAGGGCCTTCAGTTGGAACTCACCGTTCCACCTTAAATAGTGCAGTGGTTAGAATATGGCGCATGCAAAACTTTGCTATAAAGAAAATGCTTTAAGTAGGAACTCTCCGTTCCACCTTAAATGGTGCAGCTGTTCCATTCTGGCCCCGTACCATTTAAGGTAGAACGGGAAATTACAGCGAGAAGTCAACTTAAACCATGTCTTCATAGCAAACTTGTGCAAGCTCCAGCACGGAACTGCTGCACCATTTAAGGTGGAACGGAGAGTTCCAACGGAAGGTCCTTCTTTGCAGGGGTAAAACTACACCATTTAAGGTGGAACGGGAAAAAGCCAAATCAAAACTATTTCTTTATCGCAAAGTCTTGCAGGCTCCAGAATGGAACTGCTGTCCTATTTAAGGTAGAACGGAGAGTTCCAACTGAAAGCCATTCCTTTATAGCAAAGTTTTGCAGACTTAGAGCTGTAATTCCTGCCCCATTTAAGGTGGAACGGAGAGTTCCAACTGAAAGCCATTCCTTTATAGCAAAGTTTTGCAGACTTAGAGCTGTAATTCCTGCACCACTTAAGGTGGAACGTGAAAAATTCCAACGAGAAGCCAGCTCAAGCCTCGTTATCATGCCCTGATCTTCCTCTCTTACCTCCAGCCTCTCTGCCCTGTATTCCCTTCACTCCTCCGCAGTGGAAGCCCATCTGACAGCAGTGATAAACCCGCCTAACGAAGCCAAACAGAGGCTGCTCGGGGAAAACTGCCCTCTTTGCTCCATCTTTGCCCATGGACAGGACCTTCAGCCTGTAGATGTGACCCCAGTGACCTCCCTGAAGCCTGGCCTCCGTCCAGGGCATGGCCAAGCTGGTGCACTTCTTCTCGACCTCTTCCAGAGACGGACTCTTTGCTGTCCGAGCAAAAAGAGATCCACACTGTACTTCCATTAGCAAGGTCACGGAGGTGAGGACCAGCAGCAGAGTGGACGGATGCATGGCGAATAAAATCCAAATACAACCCCAAACACAGTGTCCGAGAGCTTGTAGGCAGCTGGAGCTTCTTCTGACAATAGGTTCCTCTCTGGTCAGCACATTTGAGCTGATCCTTAAGGGCTCTCCTCCCCCAGCCCATTCACACCCCCATTGGCCCGTGCATAATGAGGCCTGTTCTTACCTGCACCCCCTAATGACCCTCATTACACTGCATCTCTAAGAATGCACTCATTTGCAAAAGAAAAACGCCCCCAGCTGAGAGAAACCCCCCCAACAGAGCACAATAGCTCGCGCACTGCGGCACGTAGAGCCTTTCTTCTTTATCAATACTTTTTTCTTTTTTAAACTTATTTGAAAAAGTTCTACTAATCCACGATTTTTTTAAAAAACGACGACATCAGCGGCATCTGGTGGCCAAAAGCGCGAATTGCTTGCAATCTACTGGATGTTGCCACTCGTTTTACAACCCCTTTTCCAAAAAAGTTGGGAGGCTGTGCAAAATGTAAATAAAAACAAACTGCAATGGTGTGCAAATCATTTAAACCCTATATTTCATTTATAAAATAGTACAAGGACAACAAATCAAATATTGAAACAGTGAAATTTGATTGTTTTATGAAACATTTTTGCCCATTTTGAATTTTATGCCAACATGTTCCAAAAAAGTTGGGACGGGGGAACAAAAGGCTGGTAAAGTTGTGTAATGCTAAAAAAACACCTGGTGGTTAATTGGCAACAGGTCAGTAATATGATTGGGTATAAATAGCATCTCAGAGAGGCGGAGTCTTTCAGGCGTAAAGATGAGGAGGGGTTCACCACTCTGTGAAAGACTGCACCATCAAATAGTGCAACAATTCAAGAATAACGTTTCTCTACGTAAAATAACAAAGAACTTCTGTTTTTCATCATCTACGGTACATAATATCATTAAAAGATTCAGAGAATCTGGAGAAATCTCTGTATGTAAGGGACGAGGCCAAAAGCCAGTATTTGCTGGCCGTGATCTTTGGGCCCTCAGGCAGCACTGCATTAAAAACAGACATGATTCTGTAGAGGAAATCACTGCATGGGCTCAGAAACACTTCTGAAAAACACTGTCTGTGAAAACAGTTCATCACTGCATCCACAAATACTAATTAAAACTCTAAAACACAAAGAAGAAATTACATATAAACAGGATCCAGAAATGCTGCCACCTTCTCTGGGCCTGAGCTCATTTAAAACGGACTGAGGGGAAGTGGAAAAGTGTCCTGTGGTCCGACGAAATCAACATTTGAAATTCTTTTTGGAAATCATGGACACTGTGTCCTCCGGGCTAAAGACCACTCAGCTTGTTATCAGTGCACAGTTCGAAAGCCAGTATTCATGATGGTATAGGGGGGCATTAGTGCACATGGCATGGGTCACTAGCACATCTGTGAAGGCACCATTAATGCTGAATGATATATACATGTTTTGGCAACATAAGTTGCCATCCAGTCTTTTTCAGGGAAGGCCTTGATTATTTCAGCAAGACAATGCAAAACCACATTCTGCATGTATTACAGCAGCATTGCTCCATATTAAAAGAGTCAAGGTGCTAAAATGACCTGCCTGCAGTCCAGAACCACTGATATGAAATCATTTCATTATGAAATGAAAAACATGAGACCCTGAACTGTTGAGCAGCTGAAATCCTGTATCTAACAAGGATGAGAAAACATTTCACTTTCAGAACTACAGCAGTGTCTCCAACTTTTATGGAACATGTCGTTGGCATCAAATTCAAAATGGTCATTTAGTTTTAAAAAAAACAATAAAATTTCTCAGTTTCAACATTTGATTTGTTGTCTTTAAAGTATTTTCCTTTAAAAACAGGGTTTAAATGATTTGCATATCATTGCATTCTATTTTTATTTACATTCTGCACAGCATCCCAACTTTTTAACCTAATATGTCCCCTTTAGTGCTTTGAAAACATAAGAAGATTTGAATAATCATAAACATTTTAATTTTAAAACCCTTACTTTTATTATTTTTAATGGACTACCTGCAAATAAACAGCCGATATGCTTAAATTTTAATCACAAGCAGATCCTTCTGCACTGATCCAGTGTAAATGGTCCTCAGTCCACCAGAGGACCAGGCCAGGCACACCTTTTAAAGAAGACTGAGTTTTAGTCAGTTTTTTACTGATGGTTTTGGCTGGTCAGTCCACATTTAGAGAATATTTGGACTCACATTAAACACAAACTAGCTCTGCCATGTTTTTCAGCTGTTTGAAGCTGTCAGTGGATCAAAACTGACCATTTAATACTTCATCATATAAAGAAGTCAAAGTGAAAAACTCTCCCATATCAAGTTATTTTATCTATTTGTTTAATGATTTCTTATTAAGACCATTAAAAGCTTAATATTTTGCCATTTTGGGCTCAGCCCAATTTGTTACCTTTACATAATGATATAATTCTCTGACAATTATATTAAAATCAAATTGAATTGAGACTTATTTACTGATAAAGATGCAGACAAATATGAAGGAAGCTGATCAAAAATCACTTTATAGACAAAAAAGAACCAGTGAATTTGTCTTCACACTGAAAGTGGAGGCCAACCAATCACTTCATAAAGTTCACAGTGAGGAGCTGAATATCTAGCACCTGTTTTAGCTCAAGAGTGTTTTTATTTTATTTTACTTTATTTTATTACTTTATTTTAATTCTTACACAATGTATTCTATTACTCTCAAACTCATTCTTTTATTTCTAATCTTCTTCTTATTATTATTATTATTAATATTATTAATATTAATATAACCAGTGACCTTGTTTTAACACAAAGGGTTCTTCTATTGTTACAGGCTTGACATCATAACAATAACGTCTGATTGTGCATCAACATCTTGGAGGCTACTTCGGGAACTGCAGCTGGTTTTAGTAGTAATCTTGCTATTTTAGTGACCCATGACCTTGTTTTGATTTAACATATGACTATTATCCACAGGCAGAGCCCAGTTATGAGCTCTAAATCAATACATAAGTGCACTGGCATTACTTCAAAATCAATCTGCGCTTCTTTTCAACCAGATTCTAAAGCGGTGATGAGGTTCTGTGCTGAATGTGGGGTGACATTCATTCATCGGGCAACATTAACTCTTGTTTTAATAAAATACATTATTTAAAGTGTTTATCACCGCATACGCTGCTTTATTAGGTAAAAAATGCCCTCATTAAAGAACAAATGATCAGCTCCAGGCAGCAACAATAGTCCCATGTTTTTTTTTCAAAATCTCTGTATAATTCAGTGTGTGAGGTGTAAACAGGGAGATTCAGAGTGGTTTGGTGTGAAATGGTTCAGATGTCTTTACAGTGGTGGTGATAGGAACCAGGGGTCGCCATGACTACAACACAAATATAGACTTTTTATTTACTATCCAGAACCACCAGTGAACCTACACGAGTCTTCTGAGTTTATATGGAATGTTGATGATGGAAAATAGCGGAAAATCTGAAATAATAAGTTTTCTTTGGGGACTATTTTGCCTCACAGCGCCCTGCATGTATCCCTCCACGATGAACGGAGTTTAAGTTCTCTAAACTATCATAAAACAGTGTCTCAGTCATCAGGCAGTGAATTCATAACCATTTCATGTAGTAACTTTCTGTGAGGGAGCTTTTAGAGGTGGACATCTGGTTCCTATCACCACCACTGTGAACAGTTCTGACTCGGTAAGTTTCTCTAGAACGGAGTGTTTCACACCAAACCACTCTGAACCACTCTGTTTACATCTTAACCATTTAATTATGAAGTAAATTTGAATAGTTAGTGCAGTTACCCTTTAATTTCTGACAGTGGTCCCTCACTGGACTGTGTGAACGTCCATAACTCGGCTATTTTTAGCCTGAAGTGAAGTATTTTCACACTCAGTAGTACTACAATAATTCAATTTATTAGAAATGCATTAGAAAAGAATTAAAACACTATATGCTTTTATATATGCAGGGATTAACTGCAGTAGTGAGAAATGCAGGCGCCCCTCCGTAATTAGCAGCTACTCAGGAGAGGCTCGCTCGCTCATCAGAGCACTTTCTGAGACTCTGTACAGCAGCAGACAACATGATAGTACATAATCAATAATCAGGCATCTATAATTCAGTGCATGTGTGAGTGCTGGTCTCAGTGTGGCTTTAAATTATACACAAAAAACAAAATATATATAAAACTTGACTCAAATGTGTGCTCCGTCTCGGAGCAGAGGTGCGAGGAAGCAGGTCAGAGCAGGTTGACCCCATGTTTGAGCAGGCGGTGCCGAGCTTTACTGGGCAGAGAGAAAGCGCTGTCCTGGGCGTTGGGTATCCCAGAGTTTCTGGAGGACGCCCCCTGCTGGAGGAAGAAGGTCTCTTGTGCGGCAGTGCGGGTTCCGTACACGGCACAGCCTGCGTTCCTGAAACAGCCGAGCACACGTTACAGACGTCTCACCTCAAACACACCTGCAGAGCAACACCAGTGAAACGGCACAGAAACAGGCCTCACTTTATCTTACATTATAATCACTTGTAGAACATTTATAGATGTTTTAAATCAAAATTTTGGCTGAAATTGGTCAAAACTGGCACTTTTGGTTTTTTTTTAGCTGAAAGAGAAAAATTGTCAGCATAAATAAAACCATCAGGTAAAGACAGCTAGAACCTGTAGAACCATGAACACCCAAAGAACAGAGCAACGCTATAATCCCTTGTAGATCATCTACAGATGTTTTAATAATTTGGGCTGAAAATGGTCAAATGTGGCACTTTCAGTCGAATTAAACCATGTTTTCATCAGGTAAAGAGAGATAAACTCACTAATGCTTCACACTTAAAAAAGATGGTTCTTCAAGGGTTCTTTAGTAACCCTGTAGAACCATGAACACCCAAAGAACACTTTGGTTCTTCAGATTGATGGAGAATGTGTTTTATATGGTTCTTTGCAGAACTTTTTTGAAAAGGGTTCTATATAACACCAAAAAGGGTTATTCTACTGTTACAAGCTAGACTTCGTAACAATAGAAGAACCCTTCTTGGTGCTGTATAGAACCCTTTTCAAAAAGGTTCTGTATAGAACCATCTACAGCACATTCTCCATCAATCTGAAGAACCATTTAGCAATGCAAAGAACCCTTTAATCATGCAAAGGGTTCTTGGATGTTGATGGTTCTATATAAAAACATTTTCTTTACTAAAGAACTTTGAAGAACCATCATTTTTAGAGTGTGGTTGGGCTGCACTTTGGGTCTTCTGGCTGATGACCGTACACTCTTAAAAAAAAGATGGGTTCTTAAGTAACCCTTTGAAGAAGCATGTAGAACCATTAACACAAAGATGCATTTGCATGCCTAAAATGGTTCTTCAGATTGATGGAGAATGTGTTGCATATGGTTCTATACAGAACTTTTTGGAACATGGTTCTGTATAGCATTAAACATTTCTTC